TGGGTCAGGGCCGGATGAGGTGCCGCCGGATGAGGTGCCAGCCGAGGTAGATGACTGACCGAGAAAAGTACTCGCGTAGGAGTTTTTAGCTGCGAGGTTCCGGATTCTCTTTCTTCCAGACATAGCTAGCGAAGTAAATATCTGAAAATTATAAAAAACATAAACCGGTTAAACTAAACAATTAAAATAAATCAAATTTTAATTCTAAATTAAATCCAAACCTAAACTAATTACAAACCTAAACTAATTACAAACCTAAACTAATTAACTAACTAACCACCTAAAACAAAATTACCTAGAGAGATGTTGTGTAGTGGTTAGAGAGAAATGAATGAGCAACTGAAATGCTTCCGCGAGGTCCCTATATATATACAGTTTTGACCATTGGTCGTAAATTAGTCGTAATATTACGACCAATTTATGACCATTGGTCGTAAATTGGTCGTTGTATTACGACTAATGTACGACCAATACGTATTACGACTACATTACTACTACGAATTACGAGGACATTACGACTAGTGTGGGTCAATACGTGCATTACGACCAATTAGGGTCTAACTGTTACGACTACATTACAACTAAGTGTTGTAATGTAGTCGTAGGGTTACGACTGTTTAGGCTCCAAATACTTATTAATCGTAATGTAGTCGTCTAATCCCTAAACCCTAAACCCTAAACCCTAAACCCTAAACCCTAAACCCAAACCACAAACCACACAATTCCAACCCCTAAACCCCAATTACCACAAACTGCAAACACGTATATCAAATGTATCTCGTAACTCAAAAAAAAATATCGGAATATTATTCGGATCATAATATAATGCAAACATAATTAATTAAGATATCGGAATATTATTCGGATCATAATATAATGCAAACATAATGGAATCAAATACAACTGACGGTAAAGTACATAATCACTCGTCATCGGAAACATTTTCCACCTCATCATTTTCTTCAAATTCATCTTCGTTGGCTTCGTCCAAAATCGCATCGTCTAGAAGTTCTTCATATATCGGATTCTGCGGATCAACAAGTAAGATATCATCAATACGTTGCTCAGGTACTTCTACTTCATTTACGACATCTTCTTGTAAAGGCGGTTGGTCAT